AAAAAAAAAAACACCTGTTGTGCTGGTGAAAAAAAATAAAAAGGCCTTTATTCCCTGATAAGGCTGGTGAAGGAGTGAACTAGGATTATTTCCCAGGGCCATAATTGTTCACAAAAATGACCTCTAAAGGGGAATGGAACAACAGTGCTAAAAGAGAAACACTGTCTTTTTTTTACTTGATTGCATGATTGTTACCAGTTGGATCATGAGGTTCTATCTTTAAGGAAAGTTGGAATACTTCCTCAGTATCTATTAGGAAAAGGACAGAGCAGATGTACCACTTCTCCACTCTTTAGTGACATCCTGATGACATACTTTGATACCAAATGGGAGAAGTGAAAAAACACTCAGAATAAATGGATAGTTTCTCAATGGGTGGAGGTGTTGTGAGGGAGGTGCTTCAGGAACTCCTGCACCAGGATAAAGGACCCAAAATAAGTTCATTCACACCTTAGGTTTCAGACAGACAACAAGACTCTTAAAATTTGAGTTAAGAAACCATATTCCATAAAAATCAGACAATATTTTTCTCTAAAAATGAGATACAACACAGTTGATTTCCAAAACTGGTAGTTAAGGGATTGTCAACATTAAAAATTCAGAAGATATAGTTTCAGGGAAAGCCAATGTGTGCCAAAGCTCAAGTAAGAATAAAAGTATTAAAAATGATCAGTATTAGGCTGGGATTGTAGCTCAATGGTGGAGCACTTGTGTAGCATGTGAGGCAGTGGGTTTGATCATCAGCACCATATTTAAATAAATAAATATTCATTGACAACTAAATATATTTTTTAAAAAATGATCAGGGGGCTAAGGTTGTGGCTCAGTAGTAAAGTGCTTGCCTAGCATGTGTGAGGCATGAGTTCGATTCTCAGGCCATATTTAAGAATAAATAAAATAAAGGTATTTAAAAATGGTCAGTATTGACAGGCATGTGCTTCCAATCACAGATTTTGTTAATGAAATCTTTTATTATAGGAATCTAAAATACTAAAGTCATGTTTTATAACTGGGGGCCCCTAGTCCACTTTACACCATCGTTGTATTAAATAATACCTCAAGATATTTTTCATCATTTTTATAAGGCCTTTAAGATAAAACTATGACAAGATATAAAGAGATCAGTGGTTTTCCTTACCTCACTGAAGTGTAGTTCAGTTCTTCAGGGGTATAATGGTGATTGCCTTCAAGGATTCTTTATTACCCTTAAGAAATGGGACGTTTGAGACCAATGGATATTTGTATATGTCAGTAAAAATAACTCCCAAATAATTTGAGGAAACAGGAGCTATATTTACTTTTATTAGAGATTTTTCTGTTGTTTGTTTAGTTAGTTGGTTGTTTGGTTGGTTTTTTAAGTTTTCTGAGCATTTATATAGACAGAAGAAAAACAACCTTTAAATGTGGACTGGAGGGAGTAGAATCCCTTTATTGAAAAATAATTTTAAAAATCTAGTTGGATCATGGTGGGTTAATAATGTTCAGAGTTATATAACCCCCTCAGGAACAAAATCTTAGCCTTAAATGGAATATAATTTATTATTTCATGAAGGGATTTTTCACCATTGTTTTATCCTCATTATTATTCCTACTAGAATTGAAATAGACTCCCCAAAAGAATTTAATTTAGTGAAAAAATAAGCTCCAAAGAATGAAACAAAAGCTGATTCCAAACTGTAACTTTGACATGATGTAGAATAAGGAAGTGCTAATCTCTGTACAGATGTAAAACTATTGGATGATATTTGCATGCCAAATAGACTTTCAGGCATTCTTATGCATACATTTTTCAGATACTCCTAAAAAGTTCTGATTTCATATATTCCATCCCATTGTCAGACACACCAGACTTTGAAACGATATTGTTTGATTTGTTCCTTATTAGCATTGAAGGTAAGCCAATAATTGTTAGTTATTATTTTATAAATGACAAAGGGCTATGTTCAGAGATTTGTTACAGATCATCTGACAAGCCAAAAGTAGAACTTCAGACTCTTGGTACAACATTCTCTCTGATTATATGCTACTACCTTCTGTTATATGGGGTGTGTTCATGCTAGTTTAGTAACCTTGAAATTCACTACCAGGTAATTTAAGATGACCACAGGTTCTTTGATTTGTGAATGAAAACTTTATTAGTTTAAAACTATTAAACAAGAAAACTGTTTTGACCAATAGTCATAATGACAATAAACAATTATAATCTAATTGAAATACCATCCTAAGGGATATTCCCCTTTTAATTTCCATTAATTGTAGAATAATAAAATCGGGTCCCAAGATGTGAGATAGTTGATATGTGCTTCAGTCCATTGTTAGGTTGAAGAGATTCTCTTCTTTGTTATTATTTGCTGTTATCTTCAAGAAGCCTAGTAGAACAAATACAAGTAAAGGAAAAAACACACTGCTAAAGTCAAAGATTTTTGACTAAAAACAAAGATGAGATCAGTCTTTTCCTTCTGGAAGGAAACCAAATCTTACTTGTTCTATAAGGTCTTAATAATAAAAATATGCAGAACTAGGAGAAAAATATTGCTAATGTCCAGAAAAATCAGGATGTATTTGGCAAAAAAAAAAAAAAAAAGATCAGTGATCAGTTCTCACATGTTGGTGAGGGCAAACTGGGTCTTATTCACTTCTTCGACCATTGTTTATATCAGAGAGTACGTCTTCACATAGCTCATCTACATCTATCATGGCTTGATCTATATCAAAGATTAGGTCTTCATCTTCTTGTAGTGAAAGTATTGATTCCAAGTCAGAGAGATCACCGAGATCTGGTAGTGAAGGTTCTTCAGGAGGAGATGCATCTGCACCAATCTGTTCTGTTCTATCATTTCGTTCTTCACAAGGAACTTGTTGTTCTTGTGAAATAGATAGTAAGAGCTCCTCAGCTATTCTTATTAACTGGGCTACACACTCAACAAGTCCACCAACTAGTATAGGAATTGACTCAGACTCCATGCTCTTCTTAACAGATAAAATATTACTAAAAACTGTAGCAAATGGACTCTCGATGACAACAAATCCTGTGGGGCTAGTAAGAGTTCTCTGGTTTGCTTAGATGATAAATTAGGATATTGATATGATTCTGATGGTGGTCAAGTATAGAATGAAGTCAATAGTACCACAGGATGTTTTGATAATGTTGATGAAATCTCCAACAAAATTTATTGTACTCTTGTTTGTACCAGTAGTGAACTGCTGATATAATGACCATCAGATAGATAGTCACAGGCAAGATTTAAAAAAGCAGCAAAGCAGATCTAATGATAGAAAAGAGAAATATAAAAATTAGTATGATTGACACTTTATCCATCCTATAGGTCCTAGCTACAGGATACCCTTATCAAGAGTTATCCATAGGGTTAAAAGAGGATCTCTAGATATTGTTCTCCTTTTGTGATAATCTAAAGACTATCTACTACCTCTTTGCCCATGGAATTTCTCATGGTTTTTATGTCTTCTTAGGGGATTTGAAAATAAAGGAAGCATAGGTACTTTGTCTCTCTCTGTTGAGAAAGGATACATCCACTCAGGGTCTTTCAATTAACTCTGTCTTTATTCACACCTTTGCATCATTGCTATTTATATTTGGAGCTACTAAGTATTTTCTGTATTTTTAATTATACATTCATTAAAATTTCCAGTTGCCCTGCATCCTAGTGGGGAGTGCATGGTAAATGAAATTCCCATATTCTCTGACTTTTGTGAAATTTTGGAGAACTGAAGGTATAACATTAGTTTCTTGTTGTTTCCCATTACTGCCGATCTTCCATATCTAGCAGCTAATTCTTCCAACTTTGTCTAAAGCCATGATTGCACTATTTTCATCTATATGTCTGGTGGACTCTGCATACTCCCTCTCCCACAGCAAGCATATACTTCTGTAAGGCAATACTCTGTGTGTGTGTGTCATGCTGGGGGTTGAACCCAGGGCCTTGTGCATGTGAAGCAATCACTCTGCCAACTGCGCCCAGTCAATACTCCTGGCCCAATATAATCTACATTCCGTGTCTGTCTGCCTTATCACTCCCATTCCTCTTTAAATGATTTTGTTGAAGATACAATAAATGTTTGGCAATATAACATATCTCATATTGCCTGCTCACTTGTTTGATTCATAGTATTTTTCACTACTTCTCTCAGCTTACCTAGTACATTTATGTCCATATGCTCTAAGGTTCTCTTAATCCATTAAATTGAACTGAGGTTTGTCTTACCCTTTACATTAAACTGAAAGGAAACTGAACTAGAATCCAAGGTTGTGTGGTCTACATTTTTTTGTGGGGGGGAGATTGTCTCCTCTCTCATTACAAATAGATAATTCTGTCTTTACATTATGATGAGCTGATGTGTGTCCTCCATAAATACTTAAATTATTTCTATTGATTTCTTTTCATATCTCCATTCACCAAATTGTTTTTCCTGTAATAGTCCAGTTCTGAAAGCAGTGTGGCTGTGATCAATGTGGCCACTTTTTCCTTCAGCATATCTATATGTTAAATTTTGGGATACTAATCCTGTAAATTGGGTTGATTTTCTTTCTCCAGCCTCAGTCAGGCTTTTCCTAGCAGAGGAGTCTTAGGTAGAAACCATCCATCTCACTCCTTTAGGATACTGCCAAGTCTGTTATTACCCAATTTCCAGAAGTTATGACCAGAGTGGGTCCTAGAAAGGCAAAGGCTTCACCTTCATCTCACTATGCTCTTTGGATGTTTACTATAGTACAGTAAATGATCAGCCAGATGGTCTATAATTTGCACATGGAGTTTAACTGGTCTGCACAGAGCCTAGTTTGACCACTCAGCTGTAAATTATTTCCAATTAGCATAAATTCTGTCAGAGCATTCCAATGTTTTTGTCCAAAATCCTACCATTTTCTGCAAAATATACACTCAATTTTTGTATTATGACACCTAAGGCTAGCTCTTATTTTCTTGTTTATTTGCTTTTCTGCCTCTCACCCTACCCTCACATAGATAGACTAAAATGTAAGTGCCATGAGATTAGGAATCTTGTCTGTTTTGTTTTATGCTCTATACCCAAGGCACTGAAAATTGCCTACCACATAGTAGATAATTAGTGAGTACCCTGAAATAAGAGAAGGAAGGGAGGGAGAGAGGCACAACCTTTAGCTCATTCATTCAGTAAACACCATCAAGCTTCAGCCATACATGGGGATACCAGTGAGTGAAATAATGAGCTAGCCCATCAGAATTCATAGTTAATAAAATGAACAGGAAAAGCATAAACAGAGGGAAAATATTCACAAAGCATGTATCTGGCAAAAAAAAAAAAACTTTTACCCAGAATATATAAAGAATCCCTACAACTAAACAATAATATTATAACAATCCAATTTTAAAAATGGGGAAAGACTTAAACAGACATTTCACAAAGAAATAAAAATGAATGGCTAACAACAACCTGAAAATGTACTCAGTATAATTAGTCATAGGGAAATACAAATTAATATCACAATAAGATGCCACAATGTACTCACTAAACTAGCTAAAATCAAAGAACGACAATACCAAATGCTGACAAACATATAGATCAGCCAGAACTCTCACACACTCATGATGGAAGTATAAAATGGTATACCTCTTTAGGAAAACACCTGTCGGATTCTTAAAAAAAGCTAAGCATGCACCTATAGCCCAGCAATTCCACTTGTAGGTATTTACACAAGAGAAATGAAAATTTACAAAGAGATTTTTACAAGAATGGTTATAGAACTTTAAGTAAAACACCAAACTGGTTTCCAACAAGATGAGAAGGGGGAAAAAACGGTGGTATATTTATACAATATAACACTAATCATCAATAAAAAGAAGGGACCAGACAAGGTGGCATACACCTGTAATCCCAGAAGACAAGAGGATCCCAAGTTCAAAACCTGCCTCAGCAACTCAGTGAGGCATTAAACAACTCAGTGAGACCCCGTCTCTAAATAAAATACAAAAAAGGGCTGGGGATATGGCTCGGTGGTCAAGTGCCCCTGAGTTCAATACCTGGTATCAAAATAGCTATATAAAATGCAAAATAATCTATGGTGCAAAAAACATGAATAGTGTTTACATCTAGGAGATGTAGAGACATAAGAGAACATCCTAGAGTGATGTAATAATCATATTTTAGATATAATTGTAGGTTACACAGGAATATGCATTTGTCAAAAATCATTAGCTGGCACTCTTAAGATTCATGCATTTCCTTATATAATTTTTACTACCCCCAAAAAGAGTAACCAAGCACAATCCCCAGCCTCAAAAATATATATCAAATGAGATGACATACCCCTAATTAGTTACTATAATGTATGTTCATTTTAATGGAAAATATTATCAAAGATTATGAAACTCACTTTTATATATTAGTATATTTAATCTTCATAATAAAATAACTATGAAGTTGTGGATGGAAAAATTGAGGATCAGAGGGATTAAGTAACTTGCACATGGTAAGTAAAGATGCATAGCTGGAAGTCAGCCCAGGTCTAACTTCTGAAGTCCTATATCAGAGGGTACAAATAAGGTACCTGCAGTAGCAACTTGGTAGGGCCAGACCTGACATCTCATTCTCCTAAACAGGAACAGAACTGAGAATGTTAATCTTACTTGCTAACCTTAGAAGCAAGCTGAATTCTAAGTTGAGTTTGACTAAGGCAGGGGAACAGAGAAACCTGGATCAGTCCCCTATGGAATCCTCATCATCTTGTGACAGGGATTTTATCTGCCCTTCACCTGACCTACTGAATAGGCCTAAATACTCATTAACCATTCACCTGTGATACAGCCAAGATGGATGAGAGGGTCAAGGCTATGGCTATAAAATGATTTCTGGACTTCCACTTTCAAATAAGATGTGAGTGCTCCTGAAACATCTAAAAACATGCCCAATGGTAAATTGTAAAACTAATAGATTTAAGGATATCATTAAGGTATGAAAACAAAGGCAAACTGTTCTAAAATTTCAGAGAGTGAGCTGATAGAGGCATCTTTTTCTTCCCTGTGGCATTTGCTAATTCTGGGCACAGATTGAAAATAAGGCTTGGCTCTAAGGCAGAAGGACTCTAGGCTCTAAGGAGAGGACCTCTACTAAGGAAAAGGACAAATTAATGTAACTTTGGGTAGCTGAAATAGGCTAGCACGATGTGTTGGAAACTTGAGGGTGCAGGGCTTGTTTTTTTACCTTAAATTAGTTGATACCTTCTGGTACCTGGGTGGGAAATGTAGAATGAAATTTCCCACAATCTCCTGGTGCTTCAGAGTCAAATTCTCACTAGAGAGAGTAGCCATAAACATGCTACTGGTCTCTGCCTTAAAAGGTTTTGAAGTTAGAGGGATATAGGGGAGGCTAATGAATAAATAAGATCAAAACCACTCTCAAAAAGCACTTTAGACAAAGGGATTCTAAAACATGTAAGGATATATAAAGGGAAATATCTTGAAGAACTAAACTGGAGGACATCTGATATCAAGGTTAAGACACAGAGAGACAAATATTCCATGTTCTCTTTCATATAAAGGAACTTAAAAAAAATCAATCTGAATGTAGAACAGTGATTACTAGAGGCTGGGGAGGATAGGAAGGAGTGGGAATAAAGGAAGACTAGATAATGAGTACCAAAACTCAAGTCAGATAGAAGGTATATGTCCTGGTGTTTCACAGTAGAGTGTGATACTATAGTTTACAATAACCTAGTGTGTGTGTGTGTGTGTGTGTGTTATGAATAACTAGAAGAGAGGAGTTTGAAGTCTCCAAACATAAAGAAATGACAAGGAGAGAGAAAAGCCAATTATCCCAATTTGATCAGTGCATGCAGAATATATGTGTTGAAATGCCACAGTGCACACCACTAATGTGTGCAAAATTATTACATGTTAATCAAAAAAATTAAATTAAAAAGATAATCAAGGCTAGTTTTTTGGCTATGGAAATTAAAACAGCATAGTACTGGCACAAGAAACAGACATAAATTCTGGAAAATGAAGGCAAAGTGATTTGGAAATGTAGCTATAAAATATCTACTGAACAAAACCTTTTTATCAGTCTAGATATATAAAATCAGGAGGCTATCTGAGTAGCTCATGTTTCAGTAGCCAGCAAACTTTATACAAAGCTTAAGTATATTTTCATGGATAAAACTGGGAAGAATTTTATTAAAAAAATCACTATGATTTTACTTTAAGATTTGAAAGCACTAATACCCAGAGGTATTACAAAGGTAATAATGAAAATATACATTCAAGTATATAAC